TCCCCTCACCTCCTTGATTCTGCCTGCCACTACCATATTTTGTGGGGGTGGGGGGTGGGGGAGGAGGCTGGTTCTAGAAGAGGGAGAATTCCCTTAGTCACTTTCCCTCCCTTAGTCACTTTTCCTTACCCATTTCTCTCATGTGTGTTTGAATTATACTACACCTGCAAGTACAGAAATCTACCTACTGATTGATAGAACTAACATCTGTGTAATCATCATCCTGGTTTTAAAAAACGAGGATGTCCTCCAGCCTCAGCCAGAAGCCCCTTAACCTCATATCAAATGCATCTATCCCTCCCACACAGCCGTTCACTAGACGAGCCTTTCCCATGTCCCTTTTCGATTAGATTCCTTTCCTTCCCCTTTGGCCACCATTTCTTTAATATACAGATTCTTCTGTTTTCCCTTCTCCAGGAGCCTCCCTCCTCTTTAAGCTAAAACTCCAGGGTCCTTTCTGACCTCTGCTCCATCCTAGGGTTGGAGAATCCAGGGCTGATTACCTGAATGGGACCCCTTCATCCTGGAAGCAGCAAGAGAACAAGGACTCAATAGTCCAGGGTTTTTCCAGGAGACTGAGGGCACCCGGTACATTCGTGGGATCCACTCCAGTTCTGGGAAACTGTCCTTTATGGTCTTGAAGGCACAGATGTGCCCTGAGGTAGAGGTCACTTTACGGGAAGTAAACATACTTTGTATTTTGGATAGCAATTGGGACTTCAGAATCAGACACTGGGTGGCAGCGCCCTCTGGTGTGGAGAGCCCTGTATAGCTGCTGGGAGCCCAAAAAGACCCTACGCAGACCCAGGTGAGACTAGAAAAAAGTAGCTCTAGTCTTCAGTGCTYAGCCCTGTGGCTGCACCCGGAAGCCAGCCGCTGTTCTGCCCTCAGAACCTTTTGGAACAGCTCTGAAGAAAACAGAGCTGTGAAATGAGTGGGGCAGAGAGGGCCGTTCCGGAGAATGTACATCAAGGTTGAGATAAAGACACTTCTGGAGAGCCTTGGACTCACAGTTCCGGAGGTGCCAATGCCAAGGGGCCCATCTAGAAATTGCTCTTCTATCAACCGGATGCCAAGGTGGAGCAGAGCTTGACAAGAGGAAAGACAGGAAGCACATGTGTGTGTGTCCTTCCTGCAATATCCAGCCCCATCTTTATCTCTTTATCTCCCCCTCCCTCCCTCTCTCTCTCCCCCTCTCTCTCTGTACCCACCTGTATTTAATCCTGGAGACTCCACCCAAATCTCTCACCTTCTCAAGACCTCTCAACAGGGATTGAATTTCAATACATAAACCCTTGGGGGACACAGTCAAGTCGTATCTAAACCACAGCAAATTCTAAGGTGCTGTTCCAAGGTCTAGATCTTCTGTTGACAATTTTTTTTTTTTTAAATATGCCTACAGGAACTGCAGGATACTTTATATATGTTGCCTTCAATACCTATTTTCTTCTGCCTAAGAGTAAACTTATATGCCTCCTTATGTCCATTAAAAATAACAATGATGCTGAGCATACCAATGAAATCAGACAAGAATTACGTTCTAGAGATGGGCATATTTGAAAATTTATGACTGGGGGTGATAAATTATGTTATAGATAGTCTGTACTTTCTAATTTTTAAAATACACATTCAACTTTCTTAGGCATGGTGTATTTTAGAGATATCTCATAGTCACACAGAAAAATCCATGGTTTCCATATTCTATATATACTCTAGATACTGGACTCAAAATGGTAACTGCTAGCTACACTGTGGAGTGGGGGTCAATATTATTTCTCATATAAATTGCATCAAATTTAGTACATGGATACCCAAAACCAAAATGCACCATGACTAAATCATCTTCCTGATACTTTCACATACAAACTGTTCCCATTCCAAAGGGGAATTATTTATTTAGAGAATTAATTGCATGAAATTAAAAATTCATCTGTTTGGGGCAGTAGCCACATCCCAAGAATTCAAAAGCCACATATAACTAGTGGCTACTATGTTGAACAGTGCAGATATAAAATTATTTTGCCATCACTGTTATGGTTTGGATATGAGGTATCCCCCAAAAGTTTATGGTAATGTAAGAATATTCAAAGGTAACATTATTAGATTATGAGAGCAGTAACCATCAGTTCACCCTAGTTTAAATGGCTAGGCAGTAACTGTAGGCAGGTGGGGCACAACTGGAGGAGGTGGGTCACTGGGGGTGTGCCCTGGAAGGGTGCTACTTCCCAAGGGTCCCTTCATCCATCACTCTTTCTGCTTCCTGACCCCCACCATGCGCTGAGCAGCTTCCCTCCACCGGGCACTTATATCATGATATGCTGCCTCATCTTGGGCCCAGAGCAATGCTATCAGCCATCTAGAGCCATCTGAAACCATAAATTCCAAATAAATTTTTCTCTTCTAAGTTGTTCTTGTTGGGTATCGGTCACAGCAACACAAAAGCTAGCTAAAAAAAAAATCAAAAATGTTCCATTGACAGTATCAGCATTATAGACCCCATGTTTATGTACCTCCAGTTTCATATGTTGAAATCTAATACCAAATGAGAAAGTATTTGGAAATTGGGTGTTTGGGAGGTAATTAGGTCACAAAGAGATTAGGACATTCATTAAGCAGACCCCAGAAAGCTTTTGTGCCCCTTTTTGCCACATGAGGACACAGTGAGGAGATGGTTTTCTATGAGGAAGTTGCCCTCACTAAACATGGAGTTGGCCAACCCTTGAACTGGAATTCCAGCTTCCAGAACAGTGAGAAAGAAATTTCTGTCATTTATAAGTCACCCGGTCCATAACATTTTTATTATAACAATCTGATGAGTGAATGTCACTGTTCTTGGTGCTACATGGATCCATTTAAAATGAAAGAGCCAAGAACTAGGGGTGTACATGGATACCCAAAACCAAAATGCACCATGACTGAATCATCTACTTGATACTTTCACATACAAACCGTTCATAATTCCTAAGAGGAAACTCACATGTCCCTCCAGTCCTGTTCCTACACTGTCATGCTCTTTAGCATGACATTTCCAGGGAGCTGTTCTCTTGTAGAAGAGTCCAGAGCACAGTACTAGCTAAGTTTTGGAAGGCAGGGAGTCAAGGTCAGGGAGAGGAATTCTGGAAATGAAGAAGAGGCAAAGAGGATAGAGTCAGCTGCAAACTCTCCAAGGTTTACTCAAAACCCTGGTTCTCAACATGTGATGTGTGAAATCCTCAGAGGTGCTCAGATCCTTTCACAGGACCTGGAAAGTCAAAACTATTTTTACAGCATTTCTAAGACATTATTTTCATGAAAAAAGAACATAGCAAGAATGGAAGCTATGGTACCAAACATCAATAGTAGTTATTATATTCTTTACCACCTCTTGGTTACAGAAGAAAAAAAGAAGTTTTCACTTGAACATGTCCTGGTTGGAGTATTAAAAATTATTTATCTTGGGGCTGGGGATGTGGCTCAAGCGGTAGCGCGCTCGCCTGGCATGCGTGCGGCCC